GAGTAATACAAATGGTATATGTTTTATTTTTAATTTTTAAAAAATAATTGGCCATTTATAGAAAAAATGATGTTTAGGAGTTTATAACATATATAAGTAAAATATATGAAATAAGACAAGGGGAGGATATAGTAGTAAGAATCTTACATTTATTAGTATATCATTTGACAGTAACTTTTGATAAACTGAGGGTATTTTAAACTCAAGCAGCCACCAAGAAATAAAACAAGGCAGTAGAGGCATAAAGTGGATTACTAAAATACTCAGTTAATCCAAAAGAGGCCAGAGAAAGAGGAAAACAGGAACAGAGAACAGATTAAAAAAAAAAAAGTAGAAAACAAAAGATGGTACACTTAAACCCACTCATACCAGTAATTACAATGAATGTGTATGGTCTTACTCTAAGTAAAGCCAGAGATAGGCTGGATTTAAAAAGAAAAATTCAACTATATGCTTACTACAGGAAATCCACTTTGAATATAAAGACATGGGTTAAAAGTAAATAAAAGGATGGAAAAGGATATAACATGCAAACCCTCCTAAGAAAGCTGTAATGGCCATATGAATATCATACAAAGTAGACTTCAAGATAGGGGCTGTTGGTAGTGAGAAAGAGGTATACTTCATCATGATGAAAGATCAGTTCATCCAGAAGACATAATCTTCAGTATTACAGGCCTGCTAACAGGTCTTCCAAATACATAAAGCAAAAACTGACAGAGTTGAAGGAGAAATGCACAAATCCACAGTTGCGGTTGGAGATTTCACCACTTCCTTCTGGTTGATAGTAACTTGAACGATACTATCAACCAACTTTACCTAGCTGACATTTATACGTCATCTGCAGCAGCACACATCTTTTCAAGTGCATTTGGAACATTTACCAAGATAAATCATATGTTGGGCCATAAAACAAGTTTTAATAAATGCAAAAGCATTGAAATCAAATATGTTATCTGACATAATTAAATTAGAAAAGAAGAAAGATTTCTGAAAAATTTCCAGGTATTTAGAAATTAAACAACATTTCTAAATCCAGTAGGCCAAGAAATTACAAAGGAAATCAGAAAACATGTTAAACGGAATGAAAATGAGAACATACCACAAAACTTGTGGGATGCAGCTAATTTGTGGGATAAGTAGAACTTAAAGAAAAATTTATAGATTTAAATGCTTAAATATATAAAAGAAAGTTTAAGATCAGTAATCACAGTTTCTACTTTATGAAGTTAGGAAAAGAAAGCAATTAAACCCAAAGTAATTAAAAGGATGCAAATAATAAAGACTGCTATCAGTGAATTCGAAACAAACAACTAGATGCCTATATTGAGGCAAAAAATTATAACCTTACCTCACAGCATACACAAAAGTTAATTCCAAATGAATCGTAGACCAAAATATAAAACTCCCAAATTTTCTAGAATATGACTTTGGAAAACCTCTTCATGATCTTGAGGTTGGTTATGATTTTGATTTCGTAGGACACAAATAACAGTTACCATAAGAGAAAAATTTTCTGAATTGGATTTAAGCTTTTAAATATGCTTTTGTTGAGATGTCATTTAAAAAGTGAAAAAGGTTACAAACAGCAAGAAAATAATCTCAAAACATTTTATCAGAAGACTTTTATTCAAACATTGTTTTATTAAGAACACCATACAATTGCCAGGCGCGGTGGCTCAAGCCTGTAATCCCAGCACTTTGGGAGGCCGAGGTGGGTGGATCACGAGGTCAAGAGATCGAGACCATCCTGGTCAACATGGTGAAACCCCGTCTCTACTAAAAATACAAAAAAATTAGCTGGGCATGGTGGCACATGCCTGTAATCCCAGCTACTCAGGAGGCTGAGGTAGGAGAATTGCCTGAACCCAGGAGGCGGAGGTTGTGGTGAACCGAGATCACGCCATGGCACTCCAGCCTGGGTAACAAGAGCGAAACTGTCTCAAAAACAAAAAACAAAAAACAAAAAAAACCATACAACTCGACAATCCAATTTTTTTTTTTTTTTTTTTGAGACACAGTCTTATCTGTCACCCAGGCTGGAGTACAGTGACGCGATCTTGGCTCACCACAACCTCTACCTCCTGGGTTCAGGCAGTTCTCCTGCCTCAGTCTCCCAAGTAGCTGGGATCACAGAAGTGCGTCACCATGCCCAGCTAATTTTTGTATTTTTAGTAGTAGAGATGGGGTTTCACCGTGTTAGCCAGGCTGGTCTCGAACTCCCGACCTCAGGTGATCCATCCACCTCGGCTTCCTGAAGTGCTGGGATTACTGGTGTGAGCCCTGACAATCCAATTTTTAAAAATTGGCAAGAGTTTTAGACACTTCAGAAAAGAAGTTATATTAATATACAGTAGGCACGTGAAAAGATGCTTAATACCAGTCATTAGAGAAATTAAAATCACAATGAGATACTACTTATACTAGAACAGCTAAGACCAAAAAGACCTTCAGTATGCAGTGTTAGTGAAGATGTAGAGGAGCTTGAATTCATAGTAATATATTGTTGAGCATACAAAATGATACAGCCACTTTGAAAAACTGTTTGACAGTATCATATAAAGTTAAACATACATTTATCATATGACCACCAGTTCTACTCCTACTATTTTACCCAAGAGAAATGAAAACGTATTTCCACACAGACATATACACAAATGTTCATAGCACTTTATTCATAATAACAAAGCTGGAAAAACCCAAGTGTCTCTCAGTAGGCTAATGGATAAACAAATTGTAGTATATCCACAATTAGAATGCTGAGTATACTCAGTAATAAAGATGAATGACATGTTGATCATTCAGTAGGTCATATGGAAACCATGGGTGCCCTCAAAAACATGCTGTGAAAGCAGCCAGTAGAGAAAATCAGTGAAACTAGAAGCTGGTTCTTTGGAAAGATTAATAAAATTGATAAAACTAACTAGTGTGAGCAAGAAAAATAAATAAATCACTAATATTAGAAATAAAATAGTAGCATCAGGCCGGGCGCGGTGGCTCAGCCTGTAATCCCAGCACTTTGGGAGGCTGAGGCGGGTGGATCACGAGGTCAAGAGATCGAGACCATCCCGGTCAACATGGTGAAACCCCATCTCTACTAAAAATACAAAAAATTAGCGGGGCATGGTGGCATGTGCCTGTAATCCCAGCTACTCAGGAGGCTGAGGCAGGAGAATTGCCTGAACCCAGGAGGCGGAGGTTGCGGTGAGCCGAGATCGCGCCATTGCACTCCAGCCTGGGTAACAAGAGTGAAACTCCATCTCAAAAAAAAATAAAAAAATAAAAATAAAAAAGTAGCATCAATAAAAATCTTAAATATAGTAAAAGCATAATAAGGGAAGAATAACTTTGTGCCAAGAAATTTCCTTAGGTGAACAGGACAAACTTAAATATTCTTTATTAGCATAGACAAAAAATTTTAACAAAACGAACAAATTCAGTCCAACAATTTATATGAATATAATACATTAAAACTAACTAGGGTTTATCCCAGGAATGCAAGGTTGGGTTAACATTAGAACATCGATTCATGTGCTTTACCATATTGCAAAATAAATGAGAAAAACTAAAGTGGGAAGACTTAATTACTGATTTCAAGACTTAGTTTAAACCTATAGTAATTAAGACAATGTGATGATGGCTTAAGGGTAGGGTGGAGTGTCCGGAAATAGGTATGCAGTGACTTGATTTTTGTCAAAGGTGCCAAGATAATTAAATGGGAAAAGAATAGTCTTTTCAACAGATTGTGCTAGAACAACTAAATATATAAAAGGGAAAAAATAAATCTTCCTTACTCCATACCAAACACAAAAGAGTATGTATTGTATGGTTCTATTTATATGAACTATTAGGAAACTAATCTCATTTGCAAAGATAAAAAGCAAATCTGTGGTTGCCTACACCTAGAAATGGAATTGTTTTGTTAGCGAGTCTTTTATGTAATTTAGTTGTCCTTAAAGTCCATCACAAAAATGAGCTTCAGTTCTTGTCTTAATGGAACTGAAAATACAGTACAGAGCAGGAAACAGAGCTTTGGAGCCCAGCAGATACAAACATGAATCCATCACCAGTCACTCCTAGCTCTGTGAATGTATATACCATTCTCAGTGAGCCACGTATGCATAAACTATAGGTAGATAATGATGCCTGTTTCCCAGAGTAGTTGTGAAGTTTAAGTGAACTAATATATATAAAATACCTGGTTGAAATGCCTTATGCATAGTAGGCATTAAAGTGATAGTAGGGAATAATAAGAGTAGTGTTATGCCCAGCATATTTGCTTACATTGTATTTTCAAAAGTTTAGTTAGAAGTGCCTTTTTTCACTTAGAAATATTTTCAGAAATGTGCAGGGGTTTGAAGCAGTAAAGGAAAAATGAAGAAACTGAGGTTAATTAAACTTATCCTAACGTGCTGTGTATACAAACTGTCTTCTGAACATGCCTGTGTGTTTCATCTCCATGCTTTAGATTCATTCCATTTCCCTAGCCATGAATGTTCTGTACTTTCCATCTCTTCACAGTTTACCTGTCTTACTTGCCTACTTATATGTTCAAGACCATTTTCTTCTGTGACATTCCTCCATGTTCTGACCTGTTAATTTATGTATCTAACCTGTTAGTATATATCTTTATTGATAATTTGGTACTTAGCTGCTGGCTTTATTGATAGTCCCCTTTTCAAATGTCTTATGTCTCTTTCATCTATGGCAATAACATTTTCATATTTCCTGGCAACCAAAGAGATTAAGAATTACATAATTTGAAGTCATATCTGGGTTTGAATTCTTGCTTGCTGTTTACAAGCTATTTGACTGTAGGCAAACTACTTACCCTTTCCTAGCCTTAATTCCGCTCTTAGCCTCAGTTTTCTCACCTATAAATGGAAATAACTTCATTATTTTAAAAATCAAATGAAAATATGTTGAAAGTACCTGATACATGTAGGCATTAAATAGCCATGTTATTTTGATGGATTAATGAATATTGACCTTTACTTCAGTTTCCAGGAATATGGATCTACTGGAACAGCCCATGCTGATAGTGAATATGAAAGAAGAATGATGTCTGTATATAATCATGTCTTGGAGGAGGTAGAATCACTCAATCGGAAATATACCCCTGTTTCTTATATGGCAAGTGGCATTTGTTTTATTGAGTTTTTATTGTATGGAAGTAGGTTTTTCACACATCTCTGGTACTTACTGTGTGAGTTCAACAAATTAACCTTACTGTGCCTGTTTTCCTTATCTATAAAACAGGGTTAATACCTACCTCACAGCATTGTAGTGGGGAGTAAATTAGATAATCCATGAAAGCATTTAGCACATCTCTAGCTGCTACATAGCTACATTAATATATAAAATCTGCTCTACCAGAATGCAAATAAAGCTGCTTTTTCTTTTTTTAACAATTTAACTGAAGTTGCAGTAATTCTCAACCCAGGCTACAATAAGAATCATTTTGAGGCCGGGCGCGGTGGCTCAAGCCTGTAATCCCAGCACTCTGGGAGGCCGAGGCGGGTGGATCACGAGGTCGAGAGATCGAGACCAACCTGGTCAACATGGTGAAACCCCGTCTCTACTAAAAATACAAAAAAAAAAATTAGCTGGGCATGGTGGCACGTGCCTATAATCCCAGCTACTCAGGAGGCTGAGGCAGGAGAATTGCCTGAACCCAGGAGGCGGAGGTTGCGGTGAGCCGAGATGGCGCCATTGCACTCCAGCCTGGGTAACAAGAGCGAAACTCCGTCTCAAAAAAAAAAAAAAAAAAAGAATCATTTTGAGGGCTTTTTAAAAACTACAGGCTGGGCACAGTGGCTCACGCCTATAATCCGAGCACTTTGGGAGGCCGAGGTGGGTAGATCGCAAGGTCAGGAGGTCGAGACCATCCTGGCCAACATGGTGAAACCCCATCTCTTTTAAAAACATTTAAAATTTTAAAAAAATTATAAAAAAATAAACTACATTAATACACAGACCTTATCCCTGACCATTTCTGGAATTGGAGCCCAGGCATTAGTAGTTTTGTATACTCTCATGCTGACATGGTTGGGAGAACCACTGGCCAATTGAAACAGAAAGAACTGGCTTGTTGTCTGATTGGCAATGAATCATTTCCTACCAGGTGATGACATTAATGCCTTTTAGTACACTCTTCAGCCTTTAGCCTGCTGAATCTCTGCTGCCGTTGGCACTTCCTAAGAACTTCTCAGCACGCTCACCCTTTATTAAATCTTCTCTCCTGATTTACCAGTCACAGTACAGGCTGACATATTCTCACTCAATTTCTCCTCCCTGTCTGACCATTTCCCAGTGTCTCTGTTCAGGTTTTATAACAAAATGCCATAGACTTGGTGCCTTAAACAACAGACATTTATTTCTCACAGTTCTGGAGGCAAGGAAGTCCAGGATCAAGGTGCCAGTAGATTTGGTTCCTGGTGAGGGCTTTCTTCCTGGCCCTTGTGATAGCCACCTTCTCACTGTGTCTTCATGTGGTAGGGAGAGATCAAGAGCTGTAGTCACTCTTCCTCTTCTTTAAGAACACTCATCCCATCATGGGGGCCTACCTCCAAATGCCATTACTTTGGAGGTTAGGGCTTCCACATACTAATTTGGGGGAACACAAACATTCAATCTGCAATCCCCAGTCTTTGAACTTTACCCCTTGGAAAGTTTATCTTCTCCTGCTGCTGCTCTTCTCATTCTGTACTTTCGTGCTTTAAGAAGTGTTTAGAATAAATAGAATGTGTCATTAAAGAGTTAGGTTAGATCTAAAGATGGAAAATTCTCTTGACATACTGCTTTCCATATAAAATTGTCAATAGTATTTACTGAATCAAATTGACAGCTGTTTGACAGTGACATTGTTTGCTAAGGGAGAGTGAAAGACAGTCTTTGAAGGAAATATATCTGTGTGAGGCAGTTGTTATTTTCACATTCCTCTAAGCTTCATCCTAAAAAATGAAATAGATGCTAAACAGAAACTTCATTTTGATGGAATTGAATCACACTATATATAATGGAATGGGAATTTTCTGCCCAGGAGAAAACACAGTACAGAAAAAAGGACCCTAGGCTCATTCAGAACTAGGTTCAAATTCTGGCATTACTACTGAGCAGCTCTGTGACTTTGGGCACATTACTTAACATCCTTTTATATGAAGAGGAAAAAAATGCCTGCCTCATAGGATTACTGTAAGGTTTAAGTGAAATAATGCTTATTGCCTAGTACAATGCTCTCATATAAGGAGTGGTAAATAAAAGTTATTTCCCAGCCTGGTGCAGTGGCTCATCCCAGCACTTTGGGAGGTTGAGGCAGGCGGATCACCTGAGGTCAGGAGTTCAAGACCAACCTGGCCAACATGGTAAAACACTGTCTCTACCAAAACCACAAAACTTAGCCAGGCGTGATGGTGAGCCCTGTAATCCCAGCTACTCAGGAGGATGAGGCAGGAGAATCACTTGAACCCAGAAGGCAGAAGTTGCAGTGAGCTGAGATTGTGCCATTGTACTCCAGCCTGGGCAACAAGAATAAAACCTCATCTCAAAAAAAAAAATTAATAAATAAAAATAAAAGTTATTTCCCTTTTTCTCCATTTCCAAATTATATAGATTTGATACTTTTTGAGCCTCCAAATTCAGTTCAATAAGTATTTATGGGATCCTAGGAATAGAAAAATGACAAAGACACAGGATCTTCCCTCAAATTGTCCATAGTCTAAGAAAGAAAGATTTTATAAACAAATACAATACAGTACATGTGCATTAATAGAATTCTGCACAAAGTAGAGATGTAATACAAAAAAAGAGAGTAATTCACATCGAAAGATAGGAAAAATGGATTGGTGGTGCAGTTGAGAGAGAAGATATCTTTGTATATGAATTTTCCAGACAGATAAGAAGGGTTTGGGAATCTCAGGCAGAGAATATGTTCAAAAGCAGAGGCATGAAATAGCATGGTGTCTTCCAGGAACAGTTTGTTATTGCTGCAGTGTAACGTACAGGCTAGGGACTAGAGAGATGAAATCAGAGAGGTAGCCAGAAGCCAGGTGACAAAAGGCTTTGAACACAGTATTAAGGAGTTTGGCCTTTGTTCTTGGGCACTGGGGGGCTTCTTAGAAATTTTAAATGGTTGGGAGAGAGAAGTGCTTAATACAGATTGTATATTATTGTTACATAGAAGCAAAGCAGGAAATGCCGTTAGGGTGTGAAATTAGAGGAAAGAATGACTACAAGGTTTTTTCAGTCATCCAAAGAAAGGAACAAATTACTAAAATGGCAGTAGACTGAGAAAAACAGATAGAGATGAGAGATACTTAGTGAAAATATTTTCAAGGCTGAATTTTCTCTTAGACATGAGATGATGGAGACATGCCTTCCAGGTTTCCAGCTTGAATGGCTAGTTACACAATTGATTGATCCTTTACTGAGAGACTATAGAGAGGTGATAGAAGATGAAGTTTTTATTTTCAGACATGTTGCTGTTTTTAGGCAGTTGGATAATAAATAGGTTGGAGTTGGAAGAAAGATGGACTGGGATGCATATAAGGTGATCTGCACATCGAAGTTCTTAAAGTCATGGGAGTGGGAGAATTGCCTATGAAAAATACTTGAATTGAGAAGAAAAGATGACTAGGAGAGCCTCAACTTTAAGGGACACATAAAAGGCTCTTCAGAAGGAAGATGGTGAAAGGAAGAATCAGAAATAAGTAAGGATGGTGACTATTAGGTGGAATTTCATGGAAGGAAAAGCATTATCAGGTGCCACAGAAATGTCAGAAAATACAAAGACTAAAAAGTGTCCAGTAGATTGACAATTAAGAGAGCATTAACATCTTCCTTCGGCTGGTTTACTGAAAGGGGCTGTTGACCTCAGAGGCACTCCACATTTTTCCAAGGGGAGTATTGCAAAACCTGCACCATTCTTTTAAAAGGCAAAATGGCGGCTTTCTGCCTGAAAACAGCCTGAAGTCACTTGTCCTCTGAGTCTACCCTTCAAAGATGTTTCTCTCCTTAAACACTATTGTGGCATCAGAGGTCCACCAAAGGTGGATGTTCCTGGATATACTTTGTAGATTACTCTTTGGAGGAAATCTGAAGAAATAGAACCAATGTCTTTAAATCTTGTGATTATCTCAGGTAATAGACCTGGCATTTGTTCTGAGTCTATTGGGCACAAAATGTTCCACTGTCTGAACCCAGTAAGGAATGGAATTTTCTGGCTTTTAGCCTTAACACACAACTTAAAAATGTTTACAGCATGAGCAACTAGGTGACACTCTGCTTGAAAGCAAGAGCTTAGAGGGACAGGCAGCATACCACATGGTGCATGCAGCAGGTTTTAACCTGTGGTGTCTTAGGAGGCTACCAAGTTGGGAGCAGACTGAAGAAGGAATAGTAGACCAAGCAGGAGTTGAAAGTGTTCTGATGATGCTTTCAGTTTTCTTTTAAGTTTGCAAATCATCGGTGATATAGAAGAAAATCACTGAAGAGTCAGGTAACCTAGATTCTAGTCCCAGCTTGTTCCATTCCCTATCTGTGTGACCTGTGTCATCAGCAATATTGACGATTAAACTGGTGAATCTTTAAAGTATCTTTGAACTCTTAAATTCTGATTCTATGATTAAGGCTCAGAATATTCTCTGCAGTGTTTCTGTACCTCTGCAGTCATGCTGGGATTTTCAAAACTCAGTTAAATGTGTGAAACAAATTTGAGAAATAAGATATTTTATTAAAGTGTCAGGATTCCCCGATGATACAGTCCTCCTTCATATGAATTCTGTTTCCACCATTGCTTACTCTGTGAGGACCAATGGCCATAGAGACAAAGAAGCCACCTAGTGGAGATGGGATGAAAGAATGAGCCAACTTAAAGCCAAGGTCCTACAAAATGCTCAAGCTTCTTTACCATACTATTTATCATACTCTGCCATGTGATAGTTATTCTATATTTTAGTATCTACTACAATTGTTTAATACGTCTAATGGTTCTAAGCACTGTAGAAATGTGAAATTTGCCTATTGCTTGATCTTGAGGACTGGATTTTCTCATTTCTGTCACTTATATTTTATTGAATATACTTCACAATAAAGTAAAAATCTGTAATTGTGATTCTTGACATGAATGATTTAGTATGTATACACAGTTCCTGGATGTTGTACCTATTTCTTGATTGGTATGTACCTTTATAATAATCTGTATGGGCATTTGTAGTTTTATACTGAATGTATCACTTGTTGATGAAATTTGAAAAATTTATTTTTATTTGATTTAGTTTCTTTTTCCCCCCAGCATACAGCATGCCTCTGCAATGCCATCATTGCTTTGCTGAAAGTTCCCCTTTCTTTCCAGAGATATTTTTTCCAGAAACTACAGTCTACAAGCATCAAGGTAATATTCAGAGAATACGAAGGTTCATATAGGTTTTAAAACCAGGTTGTCTTCGGAGGATTATGTAGGACATAGCTATACTTTAATGTGTTACCTTTGGTTTGTTGTGTATGTGTGTGTTTTCTTTTCTTTTCTTTTTTGGAGACAGAATCTCACTTTGTCGCCTAGGCTGGAGAGTAGTTGTGTGATCTTGGCTCACTGCAACCTCTGGGTTCAAGCGATTATCCTGCCTCAGCCTCCTCTGAGTAGCTGGGATTATAGGCACCTGCCACCATGCCCAGCTAATTTTTGTATTTTGGGTAGAGATGGAGTTTCACCATGTTGGCCAGGCTAGTCAGGAACTCCTGACCTCAAGTGATCCACCTGCCTCTGCTTCCCAAGGACAACAGGTGTGAGCCACAGTACCTGGCCTACCTTTGGTTTTGATAAACTGGCTGTAAGCCATTTCTCTCTTTTATCAAGTGGTTTGGTGAAAGGAATGGATTTGAGAGTTAACCTCTCTCCCTTTTTAATTGTTGGTGCCAAATGCTAAAAGACAGGCATTTGGGTAACTGGAGCGCCGTTGTTTGTCTCTTACCTCCAGGAATAAATTAGTGATTTATCACAGTAGCCTGCAAGGATCTTGAGCTGTCTATTCAGACCCAAGTTAGAATGAATCAGGTCTAGTAAACTCTCACCAGTTCTACTTCCAAAGTACTTTTGCCTTTGAATAACATGTTCTGAGAGACTTACCAGTGAGTAGCATTAGTAATTTTAAATATTGAAGCCACTCACAATTCAAAAGCGATTTTTGATTCAGAAAATGAAATTGTTGGAAAAGGAAGAAAATTGTCACTTCTGAGAGATCTCCTGAATTGTCCCTGTCAGTTAATGTCTTCAGTGAACTTCTGCATCCATGCACGTGCTTTTGATGACAAATATCAGAGCATACCATTTCAAAATGACCAGAATAATAAGGAAGATTGATTATCTAGGGAAGTCCTAAAGTAGGATGTCTCCAGGGTTGATAAGTTTAGTAGTTCAACAACATTATCAAAAAGACTCAAATTTCTTCCATGTTTTCATTCAGCAAGACTTGAGCTTTCTGTAATTGATGTGTATTTGGGATTTTTAATACATTTTTAAAGAAAAACTGAGAGGTTAAAAATGTCATTTGATTCATTTGTGGATATTGACTTTTTTATAGCACAGCGACTTCATCGTGTAGGTAATCCTGGAACTTTAAGTTCATTTACATTTGAATTTAGTTTGTCTAAAATTACCTAAGACCAAAGAGACAGCAGCTCTTAGGTAATGAAAATTTACATAATGCATTTCCCTACTAGAAGTGGTTCATTGGCAAAGAAATGCCTCACCACAGAAATCGGGAGAACAGTGCCTTTGCTTTTCTCTAATTCTCTATTACCCTCAAATAGAACTGAGGTTTGGAATGAAAACCACAGTGATACTTAGAAGGAAGCACTTTAAAGGTACGTCTGTCTTGTCCCAGCACAGTCAGGTCATGTTGGGTTGGGGAGTGAACACACAAATGTGTTAACCTGTAACTAGTGATTAGCACAGACATGTTTTTGTTGGAAGGAAGCTTGCTCTTGGTTGTTGGCATTTATTTGAGTGTTGGCATTTCAGCTTGCTCTGTCACCATCACCCCGGAACCCTGCAGAGCCCATTGCTGTCCAGAATAACCAGCAGCTGGCGCTAAAGGTGGAGGGTGTGGTTCAGCACGGATCTAAACCAGGACTCTTTCGCAAAATTCAGTCTGTCTGTCTGAATGTTTCTTCCACCCTGCAGAGTAAATCCGGACAAGACTACAAGGTAATTTAGAAAAGAGGCAGAATTGTGATAGGAGACTATGAGCTCATTCTTGGAAGTTTTCCAGTGTTTTTCATGGTGAAGCAGATTGCAGTTACACCTCCAAAGGGATCAGATGGTCATAAATTAAAGGTCCACACTGGGGCTTGAAGGGGCTGATAAACACTTCTCTTTTCTCTCCCTGAACCAGTTAATAGAGAAAGCATCCAGGCAGAGATCAAAGTATGAGTTTTATTACTGTTAAGAGCTATGGGAAAACCTAAGTCTGATGCCTGGCAGCAAGGACTTTCTAACCTTAGACCCCTGAATTGGATTTTCCTACCTAGCCTCAGCCAGTACATATGAGAGCCTGTCCCCATAAAATATATGGCAGGGCACGAGGACTTGGGTGCCCAAAACAGAAGAGAAAGAGCAAGTACTTACCTTCCCATCATGTCTGGTTCCTGCCCAGAAACTCACCTATCAATAAGACTCAACTCCTCCTTGCTAGGCCAGTAATATTAATCTAATGAAAGGTCCCCCCAACATTTTTCCAACCTTCAAACGTTGGAATTTGGAAAACAAGTCTCTCCCTAACTCACCTAATTCCACCCCACAAAAAATACACATCTATTTAGTTTTCTCCATTTTAAGTAAATTTTAGCATAAAGTATATAGCATTTATATAAAATGATCAGATAAAGTAAAATCTTTTAAGAGTATAACTCTAGGAATTTGCTGCTTTGAGAAGTCAAGATATAGATAAGTATTAACCTGAATTAGGCTTACATTGTTAGCCAGAGCTAAGATGCTGAATCTGTGCCCATGAAATGCCAGTGTTCCAAATGAAAAATGTTCCTTGCTTTAGACATTTATTTCCAATTCCTTGGTGGTTTATCCCCAGTAAATGAAGCAAGGCATCAAGTCTACAGTTGTACAGCAGCAAAGTTGTTCAGATGCCCAGATTGGCTGTGTCCAGGTTTATTGTGGCATAGCATGAAAGGGAGGGGTATCAGTGAAGGTATAAAAAGAGAGAGTTTTATTATCCTCAGAGGTTTTAGGTTGAAAAGCCAAGGGAAGGTCTGGGTCTAAACTATTATTACTTTCTTAAACCATTATTACTTTCGTAACTCTGGTATTCACTGTGGCACTCTTTGTCCACTCTCTAACATGGTTCAGCCTTCATTCTCCTCTTTTCGTGTTTTAACTTCTATGCCATAAAGCATGGTGCCTTAAGTAGCCACTCAATAATTTGTGAATGATGAAAAATTATTTACTATATTTAGAGTACAACTGTTAAAATTGGGTATCTGCTATCACAGAACGTTGTAATGAGAATTTACATTATTTATCCCTGTCTGCAGCTCTGAATTTGAATTTGAAACAGTAGTAACCATGATTTTCTTTGTTCCTTGCATATAATTTCTACCGTGAAGAAAACTACATTTAAACCTAGAAGCTATGGTCTTCTGCTTGTTGACTTACCTCTCAAGAGGCATTGATTAAAGTCAGAAAGCTGACATAATAAGCAATGTAATAACATGATTATTTGCAATGTTATTCACAGTGAGCTCTTACCTTAAAATACAGCCATCCATTCAGGGTGATCAGGTTGCCTTGGCTTATTTCTGGTCTTTTCAAGGAAGTTCTTTGGTAGGCTTATTCTTTAGGGAAATAAAAACTGTACAAAGGCTAAATGTGAAAAAGTACCTATACTATAAATAATTCTATGATCTTGAATTGGTTGGTAATGTCAGTTCATTAATGTTACAGGTAAATATCTCTGGAAAAATGACATGGTAACTGCTCCTTGAGACACAGAGCTGCAGGGCACATTTATGTAATTAATTACACCACAGAAACATGCACATAACCCTAGAGCAATTTGGTCAAATACACATTAAGATCACCTTTATGTGCATTCTCAGAATAAGTCTGTCTCTTGACACATTTCATCTTGAGTACAGGTAAGAGTACATCAGCAGGTTTTATTCTGGTCTTTGAAGAACAGAGGCATGAAAGTCTGGCTAAATAAATGAATGAGCCTGTAAATCTGTGTTTTATAACATATTGTACTTCCAGTCTGAACAAGACACTTATTAAATGAGCAATGTACAAAATGTTAATTCATTAAAGGAGTAGGGAATCACTACATTACTTAAGTAATAAAAACCAGACTAACTGGGGAGGAAACCTAACTTAAATTTGCTTAGTGTTTTGTTCCTTTTTAGTCTCTTAGACTTTAAACTCTCTGGAACAGGTGATTTCATCCTGTTTCTTCAGAATATCTCTTCACAGTCTAAAGAAAGATAGAGGTTTAGAGATGGGTTGAGTAAGCAAGGAAGAAAGGCTAGCATGCGAAGGGGCTGTAAACAGCTCTGGGAAGGCCGGGCGCGGTGGCTCACACCTGTAATCCCAGCACTTTGGGAGGCCAGGGCGGGTGGATCATGAGGTCAAGAGATCGAGACCATCCTGGTCAACATGGTGAAACCCCGTCTCTACTAAAGATACAAAAAATTAGCTGGGCATGCTACTCAGGAGCCTGAGGCAGGAGAATTGCTTGAACCCAGGAGGTGGAGGTTGCGGTGAGCTGAGATCGCGCCATTGCACTCCAGCCTGGGTAACAAGAGCGAAACTCCGTCTCAAAAAAAAAACAAAAAAACAAAACACAGCTCTGGGAGCTCATTCTACTCAAGAACAATGAGGAGCATCACTTAGTAGTTCAGAGTGTTGGCTCTGGAGGTAGCTTGCCTGAGTTCAGATTCCTACTCCATTCACTTATCATGTGACTTCTGGAGAAATTATTTAACCTGTCTGCCTCAGACTCCTAATCTCTGAAGCAAGGATGATAGCAATACCTACTTTTTGATTACATAGTCTAAATAAGCTCTTAAAACAGAGCCTAACTCATAGTAAGCACTGAATAAATGTTAGCCATTGTTATTTATCAATTGTTTCATTCCAGATACTCATTGACAACATGACCAATGAGATGGAGCAAAGGGTTGAACCTCATAATGATTACTTCAGTACTCAATTTCTGTTGAACTTTGCTGTTCTTGGAACACACAACATTACAGTGGAATCTTCAGTGAAAGATGCCAATGGTATAGTATGGAAAACTGGTCCCAGAACTACCATATTTGTAAAATCCCTGGAAGACCCTTATTCCCAGCAAATTCGCTTACAACAGCAGCAAGCCCAGCAGCCATTACAGCAACAGCAGCAGCGCAATGCCTACACACGGTTTTAACCATGGGATGAATGCACTGCAAACTTCAAAGAGATCAATCACATTGGCAGAAACAGTTTTTCATATGGAATAAGTATGGAAGTTGTAATGTAGTTCATTTATTCATTGATTTTTGTAATATTCTGGAAAAAATTTTGTTTGAAAAATAATTGGGCTCCTGGCCAGAAAGATCGTTTTTTTCTTGTTTTATTATTACTTTTTCTTTTGCTGGGCTTTTTCTTTTTCTTTCAAGAATATTCAAAAAAAAAAAAAAAACAAAACAAAAAACAAAACAAACAAACAAAAAAAGAATATTCACATGTTGAGATCATTAAATTAGTAAATTTGACTGCTCCTCTTCCAAAATACATCATTTGCTACCTGAGTTAGACCTAGAATTCTGAGATGCTCATTGGGAAGTTCTGACCAGTCACTACAAGGTTTGTCCATGGTAGCAGAACCTGAGTCCTCCTATAGATGGACTTGAAAACTGTACCCTGCAATATCCAGCCTTTCGGATTATGAAAGCCCACAGTCTAGTAGTATTGAAACATCCTGCTGTATTATTTCAACCACATATCTATCTATCTATTCCTGTGCTAAAGCAATCTTAATTTATTATTTTCATATTTAACTGACACAAAGAGCAGCTAGAAATTTCATAGAAAATTAAAAATTAATAATTTGCTTTTTTCTAATATGTCTGCGACTGTATAATAACAGACATTTCACATTGGTTCTAAAAGTGAAAAAAAATAATTCCTTTAGTATTTTCATGTTTTAAGTTAGAAGGGGTGGATCTTTTCCTTTCATTGGTGATTGCTTTTGTTTCTACTTGACGAGTTATGCTAGACTTGATTGTTTGGAGAGAGCAGTCTTTTTATAACATAGGCTCAGTTAATTGGGATGCTCAGGGAACAGAGTTTTCCGGTTAGCCAGAAACCGCCTCCTTTTTTTTTTTTTCTTATTTTCTTATTTTAATATTAGTTAAAAACCATGATAAAACAGACTTTCTTAACACAGTGTACTAGATGTAACCTAACTGCTTCTTCATTGGGGATCATTTAGGGCAGGCGTCCCCAAACTTTTTACACAGGGGGCCAGTTCACTGTCCCTCAGACCGTTGGAGGGCCGCCACAGACTGTGCTCCTCTCACTGACCACCAATGAAAGAGGTGCCCCTTCCTGAAGTGCGGTGGGGGGCTGGATAAATGGCCTCAGGGGGCCGCATGCGGCCCGTGGGCCGCAGTTTGGGGACGCCTGATTTAGGGCTTCAGGATCATGATTTCTAAACATCAGGGATCATATGGTTGCAGATATTGATGCTATAAGTAATTTGGCTGGATGCAGCTCCTAAGGTAAAGCAGGGTACTTTCCCTGGCATTTCCCTTTTAAATAAACATCTCAGTTTCTTTCTTTGTGTTTTGCCTTTTTCTCTTCAAAATCAACATTAATTCAAAGGAGAATGGAATGTAAGTTAAAAAAGAAACTTTTTTTTTTTTCCCTTGTCATTTGGCCTCTGGGACTGAAAAGTCATTAGCAACTTGGGTCTCTCCAAGATTGCTTGCCTCCATGAGCACAACCCATTGTACTGCTAACAGCCAGAACATTCTCATAAAATGTGTAGAGAGCCACGGTGTCCACTGCGAATGACATCTCTTTAGATGCAGCTCAGTTGTACACAGTTCACACAACCTGCACAGTCATGTCAGCATCTGGGAACACCTGCCTTAGGAACAATTGCCAGAGCAGTGCAGAAGACCTGCAGAACCCCCTGTTCTTTTACCAGGTATGGAAACAGCTGAATCAGCCTGAGTTCTACTCTTGGTTCTAATGACTTAGCTCTGTGACCAATGCAAGTCACTTTACCTCTCTGCATCTTAGGGTTGTTTTGTTTTGTTTTTTTGTCTCTAAAGTGATTGAGTTAGACTGGATTTCTGGATTCCAGCCTAGAGGTTTATTATCAAGTGACTGAAAGACTAAAAACAAAAGTTTCTTAAATTGGGGAAGATCTTTTTTATTTGTAATTAAGTGGTTATTTACAGGATTAAGGTTTACAATGTGAATTTCAAGCTTCTGGTTCTATTCAAGGTAGACTTCTCCCAAAAAAAAAGAAGCAAATCTTGTAAGCTGTCAGTTCCCTTTGAGAACTTCCCAAATTTTATGTTCTTAAAAGATAGTATTTTGATAGATGTGTTTATGAACTTTTTAACCTGGTGTATTATGGGCTCCTGGCACAAACTCAGAAAGGATTTTTTTTTTTTTGAGATGGGATCTTGCTCTTTTGCCCAGGCTGGAGTGCAGTGGTGCGATCCCGGCTCACTTCAACCTTTGCCTCCCAGGTTCCAGTGATTCTCCTGCCTCAACCTGTCAAGTAGCTGGTCTTACAGGCATACGCCACCATGTCCAGTTAATTTTTATATTTTTTAGTAGAGATGGGGTTTCACCATGTTGGCCAGAATGGTCCCAAACTCCGGTTATTCACCGGTCCCGGCCTCCCAAAGTGCTGGGAGTACAGGTGTGAGCCACCGCGCCTGGCTAGGAATTATTCAAATAAAAACAAATCCAAGAAGTTCAGAGTGTGAACATAACTCTGAAGCAAGAAATACTTTTATTTCAGTATGTCCATTAGATCCAGTATCAGAACTCTGATTTTGTTTGGTAAAATATCTGCTGAATTTTGGCATCCACTGTTAAGTTGTTTGTCGCAGAGGGAAACTATAACTTCAACATTACACTAATGAATGAAAAGAAAGATAATGAAAGATGCATAAAAGAAAAATATGAATACTAATTGTGAAGTGGCATGTTCCCTGAATTGAGAAATATGAAGGGCACTTGCTGGTTAAAGCTAGGAAAACGGGGCTAGTTTTTCTGTGCTTCATCACTTTGCAGTGCAGTAGCCTCTCCTAATCTGCAGTTCTGCTTTCCACAGTTTCGGTTCCCAGAGGTGAAGATATTTTGAGAGAGACCATATTCATATAGCTTTCATTATAGTATATTGTCATAATTGTTCTATTTTAGAATCGCTTTTAATTTCTTATTGTGCCAAATTAACTTTGGCATGGGTATGTATGTATAGGAAAAAATGTAGCATATCCTCAGCATATCCTGTCATAGGCATCCACTAGGGGTCTTGGAATGGATTGCTACCGATAAGGGGGACTGCTGTGTAGTTTGTGACTGAGAGCACAGCCTTTGGAGCCACACTGCTGAGGTTCCAATCTTAACTTAGTGACCTTGGGCAAGCTACTTATTCTCTCCATGCCTCAATTTCCTTATTTCTAAAATAGAGAAACATGATACTGCTTCATGGGGTAAGTATGAAAATTAAGTGAGTTAGTATAGAATTAATGTATGAAAGCACAGAACATGTTTGGCAGATAGTAAACAGATATAGAAGCATTTGGTTTTATTATTACTACTATTGTCATTATCCTCCTTAGTATCTTTTTTCCAGAGTGTTAGATCGGTTCTCACTGAGCATTTTATTACCTTGTCTCTGCTGTTAAACACATTTAAGCTATCTTTGCTCATATGCAATTTGGGTACATTAAGTAATAATGACCTAAACAAAATAGAATTTCTGTCTATGTTGTAAATCATTTAATTAAAATATGTAAAGACAGACATACAAAGAAATATATGTAAATACATTCTGCCGATTGCCTTCAGTGATGATAGCAATAGAATGTTGACTATTCAGAAATTAATATATTCCAGTTTAAACTAAGATCTTCAGATATAACCTTTCTAGCGCAACCCAACCAAGATAGGCAGTTTGCAACTAGGGGATATGTCATTTCTCATGTTAAGATACTGTTCAGAGAAGAACAAACCAATTAAACAAGATCCTTAGACTAGGGTCCCAGAGATGTCAGTTTAAATTCTATTTCTAAGACTCATTAATCCTTAGATAAGTCACTTGATCTTTCTATGCCAATACCTGCCAACAGAATATTGAGAGTACGATGACCTCGCACTTGGTATGTTGAGTTTAGGCAGCACCGACCAACAGAACTTTGTAATGATGGAGGCATCCTAAATTTCCACTAACCCAGTACAGCCACTAGCCACATGTAGCTATTGAGTACTTAAAATATAGCTAATGTGATTGACGAACTGAATTATTTACTTTTAATCCAGATTTATTTATTTTGAGACAGTTTCACTCTTATTGTCCAGGCTGGAGTGCAGTGGTGTGATCTTGGCTCACTGTAACCTCCTCCTCCCAGGTTAAAATGACTCCCCTGCCTCAGCCTGCCAAGTAGCTGGGATTACAGGCATGCACCACACGCCTAAATTTTGTGGTTTTTTGTAGAGATGGGGTTTCATCATGTTGGTCAGGCTGGTCTCAAACTCCTGACCTCAAGTGGTCCGCCCACCTTGGCCTCCCAAACTGCTGGGATTACAGGTGTGAGCCACCGTGCCTGTCCTAATTCAGTTAAATAGCCTCATGTGGCTATGGCCTGTGGAGTTGGAAAGTGCAGAGAATGAGAAATGAAAAAATGAGGACTACTAAGACACAGATAACCCTTCAGTAGGCTTCAAGATAAGGGGTCCTTCACTGGAATTATTTGACTCACTAAGAGTTCCACACAAAAGAGAGTATAGATGACAAGGAGAGTATTTAGATTCATGCATTTGCTTTGCTTCTGTTATTAAAATACTATGTTGCTCAATCAAACCCTGTTACTTGCACAATGCCTTGGACTTAGCCTTTACCAGTCCCACAGCCATTAACAGTATAATGAGATGTAGTAAGAAGTCCAAAGTCTGGTGAGTTGGCTTAACTTGATTTTAGTTTCTTCCTTCAACCATAATAATATGATACACAGATTTTACCTTAATGGGCGGATCTGTAAACACAGGCTTACCCATTCCACTTACAGGCAAGGCAAATGCTGCTGCTTGAAAAGCCGGGGTCCGTGGGTTCCTCCAATCCAAGTCGTCCCCTAGCCTGGCTTTATCGGAACCATATTGTGCAGCCACTTCATTGAGTCTCATCCTAGATTTTAACTTTTCCATGGTTCTGCCATGTTTTTCAAGTAGAATGTGTCTATTTACTTTGTTGCCATCTACTTTGGGGCTCTGAACCATCTTGTCAGCACTGTTGCTC